AAGTAATAACTTGGTGCGGTATGTATCGTCGTTTGAGCTGACAAACCCCGTAGTGAGCTACCTGAAGTATGGTGATCATATTGTCATTCTCGGCGACGATGGCAAGATTGCCAATCAGGGGACTTTCACTGCTGTTCGACATAGCGCCTACCTCGAAACCTTGTCCATTGAGGACAACAAGCACAGCAAGAACGATGAAAGCGGCACATCCACCCCCGAAACTTCAGAGAAGAGCAAGAAACCAAAAGCACCGGAGGGGAACGACAAGGAACTGGATCTCCTGAGAAAGGCTGGAGATACGACCCTTTACTGGTACTACCTGAAGTCAATTGGTTGGCTGTACGGCTCTCTTGGGGTGCTGGGCATGTTTGGCGACTGTTTTGTCCGGGTATTTCCCCGTAAGTAGCCCCTCATCCTTCATTGGGACCGGTATTGACGGAATAACAGAGGTTTGGTTGAAGTCCTGGACCGAGAATGATGCAAAGACCGGGGGAGCAGACACCGGCATGTACTTTGGCGTTTACGCTGGCATGTCTGTCGGCGGCTTGTTTATCATTGGACTGAATATTTGGTACGATGCACTTGAAGAGCCCAAGCTTTACAAGAACTAACGAGCGTACAGGATGATGTTTGTCATGATTGTTCCCAAGTCATCTCAGAACCTGCACTGGAAATTGCTCCAGACCGTCATGAGGTGGATCGAAACAAGCCAAAGGAGGTGCAGAGTTTCCGCTGACAATTTGTAGAGCACCTTTGTCTTTCTTCCTGGTTAAAGACACAGGCGATCTACTGAATCGGTAGGGTCTCCTTCGCATCCTCGATGCCCTCCAACACTGACATGTAGAAGATTCAGTCAAGACCTCTCCCATATTGACCGAGACCTCCCAACCGCATTATTCATGACTTCCATCGGTAAGTGTCAAGCCTCATCAGGAATCACAGCATTTTAACAAGGCGAAGCGGTTCTGGACTGTCTTGCCGGATTGGTTCTCATCATGATCGGTGCCAAGTACCTCGCGGCCGTGATCCCTGTCCTACTGGTCGCTCTTTACTGCTTGCAGGCCTTCTACCTGAGAACCTCTCGACAGATGAGATTCCTCGACCTTCAGGCTCAGGCACCACTACTGACCAAACTGGTCGAGACGATTGATGGTATCTCTACTATCCGGGCATTCGGCTGGCAGGGTGCATTCCGCGACTCATCACTCCACCTCCTGGATCAGTCTCAGCGGCCTTACTACCTTCTGTTCTGCATCCAGCGATGGCTTACTCTGGTTCTCGATATCCTTGTTGGCGCCATCGCGGTTCTTCTCGTCTCGCTAGCAATGACCATCCCGGAATCAACCAGCACTGGTGCAATCGCTATTGCGCTTTACAATGTGCTTAATTTCAATTCGTCACTCGCCACTCTCATCACCTCTTGGACGGAGCTTGAGACGTCTCTGGGTGCCATCTCAAGACTGAGAACCTTTGAATCCAAAACCCCTGTTGAGCCATCCCCTTCACCAGAGGAGCAAGCACCTCTCCCGCCTAATTGGCCTTCCGAGGGTCGACTTGAGATCAACAACATCACAGCATCTTATTCCCCGGACACGAGGCCAGTGCTGCAGGACGTTTCACTCACTCTACAGCCAGGCGACAAGGCCGCAATCTGTGGTCGCACTGGGAGCGGCAAGTCAACACTGACCCTCACCATATTCAGACTCTTGGGTTTGGACTCAGGCTCAATCGTAATCGACGGCATCGACATCTCCCAGGTGCCGAACAACGTCCTTCGGCGTCGTCTCATCGCCATTCCCCAGGAACCTTTGCTCTTCCCCGGAACGCTGCGCACCAATCTCTTCCCCCGCACCGAGGGTCTCGGCGCCGATGAGATCCCCTCAGATGAAGCCCTTATCTCTGCCCTCACAAAGGTGTCTTTGTGGTCAGCCATCTCCCTCAGCGGCGGCCTAGACACCGACGTCTCCAACTTGACCTTGTCGAAGGGCCAGAAGCAGCTGCTCTGTCTCGCACGTGCCATCGTTCGCAAGCATTCAAGCAAGATTCTCGTTCTCGATGAAGCGACGAGCGCCGTTGACCAGGAGACAGAGGAGATGATGGCTAAGATAATTGAGACCGAGTTTGCATCTCACACTGTGGTATCTATAGTTCATAGGCCACAGGCGCTGCGGGGATTGCATATGGTGGTGACCCTCCAAGATGGCAAAATCCTGAAGATCGGCCCTCCTGAGCTGTGACAGAGCACTTGGCTTTTTCATTTATCCACAACCTTTCATAGACTTTCGGACGTACTGCACCTAAATATATTAATGGATAGTTTGTTTGCTTACGGGGCTAGTTCCGAAACTTCCGTGTGCACGATTAATGAATTCGGCATGCTGATCTTCAGCCAGAACCGGACAGTCAAGTGGAACCAGGAGTCTTTGAGTTGCATCTGCATTTCCATAGTTCGTGTTTCCTTTTCCCATAAGATCATGTTCCGAGAGTGATGTGACACGAGCAAAATAACTCAGTCTCTATTCTCACGGGACTTCCGGATGTGGGCGTCAGTCCCAGCAAGTGTGGAGAGCGCAGGAGGCCTTGTACTACACATGAGCTGCTGTCATCAGTGGAACGGTCAAGAAACTGAGTCGAGCGCATCTTCTAAGTTCTTCCCGTAATAAATCCTGTCCAGGTTTGTAAACAATAGTCCTTCTCGATGCCATATCAATGCAAATGCGTCAGATTGACTACTTCTCGAACGGCAAGTTTGAAGAGTACTAGTTTGTTTGCGTAGCATATTGCTATCCGCTTCACGTACTCCGCGGAACTCAGGCGCTGTGATCCGGAGCGGTCCCGGGTGATCTGGAGTGATCCGGGGTTGGCAGGGGGGTGTGACACACCGGGAATACCGACACAACTAACTCAAAGCTTATCGTTGGTGACGGCTTGCGACTTGTCTCAAGTTTTACAGACGAACCGGATTCGACGTACGAGCTGAAGAGGTCCAGCAAACTGGAACTCAACATCCCAGACACGATGCAGATCCGACACCGAAACTGGTATTTACCATTGCCAGAGGCTGGTGGGTACCGCCCAGGACGTTACGCGTCTAAGTTGGCCTTTAAACTCTAAATTCACAGACTCAGACGGGGCCTTTTCATTAGTGTAGTTCACAAGCGCCCGTAGTATGGAGCGTGCTGTTGGTGTCAGATTGACATGTTGGCGTTGAACGTGTTGCCGTGCCGTGCTGTGCCGTTAGGAGGAATTTGATTTGGAAAGCTCCTGTCAATAGCAGTGAACAGGTCCTCCCAAATCGACGTGAGATACATACAATCTTTCATCCCATGATCAAACATTCTAGAAGGTGTACAGAAATAGTTCAGCTGTAAGCACCAACACCTTGGTAAGAAATCGTTTGATCGCCCTTCAAACACGAGTGCTATGCATAAGGCTGCCGTGGTGCTTGGCATATTGGCCACTGTCGGTGAGCTCCGTGGCGCAGCTTCCAACCCGGCGGACGGATTTCAAGGAGGCGAGTCAGCACCGATTTCACACTCAACACTTCTCCAGGCGCCGTAGCGACATCTTCGTAAAGCGAAACTTACGAAATATGCCGTGTACAACGGTGATATTTTGAAACGGGCGTAAGACGCTACCCCAGTTGTATTGATACTGTCGGACTCAATACCCGTCAATGTCAACAACGCCTTGATGTAAAAATGTGAGTATAAATGGCATGACAAGAACTGCGTTCGTCGCAACTCTTCTGTCCTGTCATCACAACATCTCATCCCATCATTGCAACATCCCACCGGGTCTATCACACAACTTTATTCCATAATCTACACCACAACACAAACGTTGAACGTTTATCAAATACCATCAACATGCGTTTCCAATTCGTTTTCGCTCTTCTGGCCACCTACGCTGCCTCTGTCATGGCTGGTGCCTGCGAGGACTGCCAGAGGACTTGCCCCAAGCCTAGTGAGGATGAGTGCAGTAAGCCAACATCCGCGATTGTCAGATGAATAATAACTGATCAGTGCGTTTCTGTAGACACTCTTTGCGCTCCCATCTGCAACGGCAAGCGATTCGTCGCATAAGTAGCGCTGTGCGTATGATTTTGGGGGCGTTGGACGGAAGATAGTACACAAGCAAATACATATATCTTACTTCCAAACTGGACCGTTGGTGACCCATGGTGTTGTGAAGACTATTGCGATTTTATCAGGCGCTTGGCAGGCGAATAATGATTGCATGCGCAACTATGCAAACGAGAAAGCGACCAATTCATCGTGTTGGTCTGGTCATATAGAATCAGGTTGCTCTGGGAGATTCACTGGCTTGGATTGCACTGGTCACGGTTCAGGAAGTAATAGTCCCCGGTTTGACGATCAATTGCCGGGGGTCAAAACAATGACGCTGGCTTCGACGCCAAGATGTTGTGGCAACTGATGAGAGCTGAAAGGTAAACTACCGGAGGCCTTTCAACAGAAGAGGACCGTGGAGATAACCATGAGAAATGGTTCACTCCAATTCAACTCCTAGCTTGATCAGCTGAATAAAGTGTGGCTTCAGAACCTAATGTGTGCTGCCCCTATTCTAGCCTGGATTAGGCCCAAACCCCTCCGCACCGGAAAAGAGGCGTCGCTTTTGCTCCTGGGAGCCGTTCGGCTGGCTGTTAGCGCAAAGAGCTACCAGATGGTTGGGTCAGAAAGGCAAAAGCCGTCATCGTGACTATTGGAGCTAGAGTCAAAACAAGCTTATTCTAATAAACTACTCGGGTACCCTGAATCTCACTGTCACTTCTCCAAGCAATTGTTACAATTCAAAATGCAATCCATCTGCCGGTATATGAGCTCTATCAAGCGCTGTCGCTTCCCTTTACTTGTCCCAGATCATTGCATTGCAAGCTTCCAGCCCGATCTAGTTTGAGGTTCCATCGTTCTCTCCCTCTTTTACAATTATTCAACTCTGTTTCTGCCATCCCAATCTCTTCCGCACTCAGAGGATCGATCATGGGCCAAAGTTATAGCTATCAATCATGCTATACGGACTTGATCCATGGACAGCGCACGCTGGGAGCCGCTACCTTGGTCGCCAATGACATGACCATCGAAAAGTGCAGCAGCTTCTGCTCCAACTACAAATACTTCGGAGTCGAGTACGCAAAGGAATGCTGGTGCGGCAACACCATTCAGGAAAACCAAGTTGTCGCAGTTTCAACAGAATGCAGTTGGCCTTGCAGCGGCTCATCCTCTCAGACCTGCGGTGCTGCCAGCCGCATCAGCCTCTACGAGCGTTGGTTGTACTTCCCTGCCACCCACGCGACCCTTTCCGACACACCTTATGTTGGCTGTTTCGCCGATGGCAACACCCGCGTGCTTCCCAGCAAGCAATTCACCTCCGACTCCATGACAGCAGCAGCATGCGCTGCCAACTGCGCCGGATACACCTACTTCGGCACACAATGGTCGCGGGAATGCTGGTGCGGCAATACCCTGCCGACTGTCAGCGCTCCGGATGCGGACTGTTCAATGACTTGCACTGGATCCAGCTCCGAGACCTGTGGAGGCAGCTTGAGGCTGAGCGTCTACGGACCTAATACCAAAGCCGTATACAATCCTGGAAGCACTTCCAACACGGGCACTACCACATCTCCTGCTACCGTGTCCAACTTCGCCTACCAGGGTTGCTACACCGACAATGTACCCCAACGTGTACTATCAGGGGCAGTCAAGTTTGATGGCGCCATGACCCTCGAGATGTGTGCCTCTTTCTGCAGCTCCTCGAACTACGGAGTCTTCGGCGTCGAGTACTCTGGGGAGTGCTACTGCGGAAACTCCTTGGACGCCGCCAGCAAGAAGGTGGCCGAGACTGAGTGCACTATGAAGTGCATGGGTAACAACGCCGAGCTATGCGGCGACGGAAATCGTCTCAATGTCTTTGCTCTTCCCTCCGGATCCATCACAGCTACCTCCAACCCAACTGGCAGCACAAACGGTTTCTGGTATCAGTCATGCTGGAACGACAACATTAACGGCCGTTCTTTGAAGGAGAACATCTTGTTTGCCGACGACATGACGGTCGAGAAATGCTCAAATTTCTGCAAGAGTTATCATTACTTTGGTCTCGAGTATGGCGGCGAGTGCTATTGCGGCAATACTCTCGGAGGCACGAAGGCTCCAGAGGCAGACTGCAGTCAACATTGCAAGGGAGATGGTACGCAGTTCTGCGGGAACGGCAACAGACTCAGTTTGTACAGCATCAACCCGCCCGCCGGAACCTGCAACGCAAACTTCCACGGAGATTTGACTTCATTCTCTGTGTCGATCGGGACCGACAACGACTTGAAGCCCTGGGTCCACGAGACGGGTGGTGCTGCCATCTCCTACGTCACCGGGGACCAGAACGCGCTCTCGTATCAGGCCGCATTTGGGGCTTCGATGAGCAGCTCCGATAACCTTTGGCAAGCCTTCAATGTCATACAAGGGGCCGTATACGAGGTCTCTGTCAGATTCAAGGTTGGCGGCTCCCTCGGCAGCATTTCGGCTTCTCTGCAGGTTGGGAATCCAGGTGTCGGCCTCAGCGACGTGGCAAGCGATACACAGATCGTCCTCGCCAATACTGCCAGCTCAAACGACGGTGTTTGGCAGACCATGAAGGTGACGTTCACGCCTCGTTTCAATGTTGCGAAAGTGTATCTCAAGGCTTCCATGGCTTCCGGTGCGGGCAGCTCGTCATATGTCGTATGGGACAGCGTCACATTCAAGCAAATATCCGCTTCGACATACAGCGCTGCCTCTACCAACGGACAGATGTTCGTCGACTACCGATCGGGGGTAGTACAGTATGCTTCCTGGGTCAGCCCGGGAACTGACGACATAGTTGCACCCGCGGCAACAAAGCCTACGATCAAGGAGATGGCCACCTCCGGGTACAACAACGCCGCTGGATCGCGCCACGTTTACATGGGAAGCTCCAATGATGCACCTGCGACCGGACCAGCTTGGCGTTTGGCAGGTCTCTTGAGCGGGAACCCGACAGCGAAGTCCGTGATGCGGACTCATTTCAGGTCAACTAACAGCAACAACTGTTTCATGCAGATGCTGAGTCTCGGTCAACTTATTGGCATCATGATGCTTGATGGCTGCCCCGGTCAGTGGCAGACATTCGAGTCGGTTCCATTCTATCCTGCTGAGGATCGTTGGTGGCAAATGTCTATCGAATGCTACAATCAGGGCCACGATGCGTCGGCCTGGGTGGATAGTGTCGAACTTCGCCCATCTTCATAATTGAATCTCTTGCGCGAGTCTGCGGATGGCGGTAGTATTAGTGGCATTAGGATAATATTATGTTGTAATACGACAATTTCTCTTCTGACTGATACGTCCTCAAATCCACTCCTCTCTAGTAATAGAATGCTAACCCATTTTGTGCCTATGCGAGCGGAAGTTCTTCGTATTTCCTGCTTCTATATGCTAAAATCTCTATACGGGAAATATGATCGATCGAAAACCGCCGGAACTCCGCCAATTGATACGTCTTCAGGCGATCAATGAGAATGCTCACGGCGGCCTTTTCTTTTTAAAGCTGACCTCCACGGTGACAGTCCTCGTCTGGATGATCGCGTTGCTCAGATTGATGGCCTGTTCAGCGAAAACATCGTCATGATAAGATGGAGTATCTTTGTAAGCAGGGGTAGTTCGTGAGGCCGAATGATCACCTCCTCCCCTTTCCATATCGAACGCTTCACCGTCGTCCTCGTTGGGCTGTGGGTGCCCGTTGCGATTCCGTCTGCCATTCGAGCCACCAATGGTCATGCGGCTGATGGTTGTGCTGCCTGTGACACTTTTCTTGCTTCCCTTTGCGTATGTGCTTTCGCCGATTATCTTTGGGGCGACGTGCCGGAAGAACTTTCGAAGAGTCGGGAGAGCAGCGCAGATGATGAGAAGATTTGCTTCGACAATGCTGCGAGAAAGAGCACGTTAGCGGTAAAAAAAACCATAGAAGTCCGAACTGGGACGCTATCGTCTACTTACATCCAGAGACTAGCATAGGAGATGGCCCAGGTTTGATCCAGACTGGTTAGCATGGCGGGAAGCAGCGAAACCCGGATGAGAGAAGTAACAACAGTTCTTGAGAAGTCCAGAGAGTCAGTCATTTTTCCGTTTCCCGTCACAGGGAGAGATTCTTGTTGTGCTTACAGAGACCCGACTGCGAATATAAAGAATAATCCGATCTTCTGCCGGCGTGGTATTTGCAGCTTCACCACGATCGGAATCGGCAACAAGAAAATCATGACGTCGGACACAATATTGGCGACGGCTGTCGCAATGTAGATTGCCGGGCGGTCGATGCATGTTCCTTCGGTAATGGTCACGTCCCAACTCATCGCTATTGGATCACACGCAAAGATGAGAGCAAAGAAAAGAGAAGCGCTGTAGCTTATGATGACACCCAGCGTGATCCACACCGCCCACTTGAACCATCTTTGAGGCGATAGTCGCATGTAGAAGATTAGAAGGGATACTTTGGCGAAGCTTCCGCAGATAGTGTAGATAGGGGCGGCGAGGAAGACGTCCTAAATTTGATGACATGTCAGCAGTTGTCGTCTTCTGCTGACCCTTGGCCATTTACCATCATGAAGATGTGGAACTTCTCTATTGGAATCTCCCAGGCGTGGACTCCGCCAGCACCCACTGCGAACATGTCTGTTTAAATCATCGTCAGTATCAGAGAGACTTCATCAATATTGAGCAGACCTACGTGTACACAATGCGATAGTCGTTATTGACGTGAGCTGAAGTCACGTCAGCATGATGCAACCATCACAAGATGCCGGTACTTGGCGAGGCACAGCTCGCTTATGCCTGCAGTGCGATGTGATCTGGAATTCCAGACTGTTGGGACTTACCCAAGCCAAAAGGAGAAATACTACCGAGCATTAAGTCAGCATGAATAACGCGCGATTGTCCTGTGGCATACTCGAGAGAAGGGTGTCAGAGCGAGGTGGTTCTCAACTTACAATCATCAAGTTGCAGGCGGCCGACAAGGAATGCTTTCGTATACAGACGCTGCGCCATGAGCAAGGCACTCAGAAAAGATCCCACCCCGCATACCCAAAAAGCCGCCGGAACAGCCTGCCGCTGTGGATGGTCGAAGTTGACCACGTAGCCTTCCGGCGCTGGAAGCAGCGTGACTACGCCATTGACCACGGGCATCGTGGACACGGAGTGGTGTTGCGTCCTTCGATTTCGATGGGATATGGACGACTTATCATGAAGTTGAGGAGATCACACCGACCCGAGTCGACGGAAAAGGAGTGGACCGTCGCTTTCCAGAAAAATGGTCCCCGAGCGGTAAACGCGAGAGAAGGGTGCTTGGAAGAGTGCCGGTTATGTATGGAAGAACTTAAACAGCAGTCGGGCTAAGAAACCTTCGTCCTTGCTTCTGACAGTTTGAGTTCCATTTCGACGATGCATGTCCTGTGCTGATAGCCTGATTCATACGACGCGTTTCCTGACTGGCCTCAATGGGTGTCCCTGCATTGTAGGTTCCTGGTAGAACCCTAAAACGCGACTTGCCGTGGTTTTGAAGCCAGAATGGAGGTCTCTTCGCCGTGAATCTCTACCTTGCCGATAGAGAGAAGCTTCCCACATGAGAGATTGCCTGACTGGAGCAATTGGAACACCGCCTACCTAGCACGTTATCAAAATCTGGGCATGGCCGTCTTTTGCGAGGCCAGCCCATCAGACTATGGAGACGCTACTTTTCTCATGCGAGAAAGTTGGCTTTGTGTCTTATTGTGTACTTATCTGCCCATACTACAGTGGCAACCTTGCGCAACATCCATATTGGTCGCTCATTGGATCCAGTATCTCGGGATGGCCAGCTGACTATGCGGCCTTTCCAAAAGACCGAATGGATGAAAGCGAAAAACGACAGGCTCTGTACGGTGATGTGGCCTTCTTGTAGGGCGTAGAGAGCTAATGTCCCCGGGCCATCAGTTTCCAGCTGTGCAGCAGCATTACACGTGCATCTTCAGACGAGATGCAGAACAAAACTCTACAGTGCCAGGGCTGACTGCCAGAGTCATCAGAAATGGGACAGGAACACAGAAAATAGGCCCCAACATAAATCTGCGGCTTATCCTCTGGGCCTGCTGAAGATTTTTGTCCATCACTCCCCTCCTCAAGCAGGTCGCTTGCGTAGGGCTTCGGCAGCCCCTTGTCGTTGAACCTTGACCACGGAAGCATGCGTCCATTTTAGCTTCGGCGGAACTCTCTTTTGCGGCCCCAAGCTGGGGAATGTTGGCGCGTTGTTACTCTGACTTTGGCCTGCATCGGCCATTGCAGGGGCGTACCCCGGCCACCTAGAGCACCAACATGATACAGCGTGCGGCACGGCTCCATATGGGCAGTAGAAACACGATTTCACCATTCGCTGCTTCGGACTTCCTTCCCCATGCTCTCTAACCCCCCACCTGGCCGATGTGGCGATGCAGGGCGCAGACTGGGTCTTTCAACGATGAGGCCAGACGTACATAAACGACATTGATCACCACTTATTCAACACCTAGGGCTTCTTGTGAAGACCGTTAATTGGACTTGTTGGCCGGACTCGGGACCAGGCCGGCCACTTCCGCGTGTCCAGGACCCTAGGTCTACTTCGATGCAAGTGAGTCTGCCAACGCAGCTCGACCACTCCCACGTCCAGGCGTTCATCGATGTCGTATCAATAAAGCTACGCAACCCGAGAAGATTGCTCTATTGACGCTCCCGATACCACCCTACTGCGCAGGTCTTTTGAACCCCTCCTGCAATGCATCTTGACGGGCTAGTCCTCCGGTGCTAGGTCTCACAGGGGTCCACGGCACACCAGCTGCATAGGATAATGTCTTCCGCGGGTCGGTGAGACGAGGCGAATATAAGAACGAGACCACGGCAATCGCGTGGAATCGGCTGCTGTGGCATTCCTCTTCGTTGGTGTGTAACCATATTCTCTCATTCTGCGCGCCTCTTCTGGCTTGGTTTTGCGAGGTGCAATTAGTGATCGCACACCTAAAGTATCTTGCCCGGGCAGTCAATTCCACCAAAGCCATCCCGCCGGGCCAAAGCCGAAACCATGAAGTCAACCAGCGCGAGTCTCGCGTTGGGCGCTGCAGCTTCGTGTGCCTCGACTGTCTTGGCACAGCAGACCTACCTTGATTCGACGGCATGCGTGAGTCGTCCCTTTTCTCCAGGTCTTGGCGGTTTCCATTTTTCCCTACTTTGGTGATGTGGGATGCTTCAAGTGTATATAGACTAATCATACTGTGGTCAGTGCTTGAAACTGAGCAAGACGACCGGTCTGGCTGACAAGGTGTTCTTCCCTGACTCGACCGACTATACGGATCGTATGAGTACGTACTGGTCCGTCAGTGCAGCTCTCAACCCGTGGTGCATCGCTCAGCCATCGACTGCCGAGGATGTGTCCGCCATCATCAAGACTTTGGTCGCCAACGACTGCACATTTGGCGTTCGTGGTGGGGGTCACGGATCCTTTGCCGGGTCGAACAGCGTTGAGGATGGTGTGACTATAGACTTCGGTACGTCGTCTCTTGACAGCATTATCAAACGTCACACTGACAGTTCACAGGGTACATGAACGGCACCACCTACAACACGGACACCAAGCTTGCCTCCATCCAGCCAGGTGGCCATTGGCAAACCGTCTACGACACCCTCGCGCCCCATGGCGTCGTCGTCACCGGCGGCCGAGCCGGAACGGTAGGCACCGGTGGCTTCATCACCGGCGGCGGCAACTCGTTCCACTCAGCATCTCACGGCATGGCCGCCGACAACGTGGCAAACTTCGAGGTGGTTCTCGCCGACGGCTCCATCGTCAACGCCAACGCGACGTCCAACCCCGACCTCTGGCAGGGTCTGAAGGGCAGCGGCGCCAACCTCGGCCTCGTCACCCGCTTCGACATGTACGCCATCGAGTTCCCCGACCCCACGAACCCCGTCATCTGGGGCGGCAACATCTTCTACGACCTCAGCTCCGGCCCGAAGGTCGTCGATGCACTGGTCGACTTCACGGAGAACGTCTACAAGGACGAGAACAGCTCGTCCATCATGTACTGGGTGTACCTGCCCTCAGCCGGCGGTATGTTCCTCAACGCTGCGATCGAGAACGCCTTGGGGAAGGTCAGACCCCCGGCGTTTGATGGTTACTTCGCCGCCGGTAATATTACACAGGACACCACTAAGCTTGACCTCATGTCTAACGTCGCCACCGAGCTTGGCCAAGG